TTCCTCTTTATAAGTGAGAAGCATCATCTTTACCAAAGCATGACGGCAGCACAAGGTCCTGGAAGGGACAATAGGAGGAACTTAATGTAAAACTGTTAATAGTTTTTGGAGAAAATATCAAATGTATTTATAGAGTGTTCCCATAGGGCAAGTGTTTTTTTCCCCAATAAAAAGAATTACATCCAGAAAAAACAACAACAAAACTAACAGGGCAAGGCCTCACCTTTGACTTCAATAAGTGAGCCATAAAGCTGAAGTAGTAGACGGATCTAACAGAGGGACACTGTGTTCCTATCTTTGTACAACTAAAATTGCTACATGCAATTTTAGATATAATTGATCAAGTAAATTGTAAAGGTGAAATGTTTAAATGGTCCAAGACAGTAATTATGTACAGTCTCTTCTTTTAGAATATGTCATCATAATAAATGTATTTAGTATTACACTACAGAGAGTGATCTACAAAAGCAACATTTTCTTTAAACAACTGTGTTTGTCCTCCATTTAAACAGGTAATTATGGTGATCTGCCATAAGGAATTAATATTTCTGCTCTTAAGAATATTATTCAGTTGAAATAAGTTTAATTTTTATTTTGGATGTAAGTGATCTTATTTAATTGGCATATCGTCTAATTTTCCTGCTTTAATCAAAGGGAAACACACTTATTGGAACAAAACAGAAATTATATTTCCATTTTTGTAGTGTATGTTTTTAGTACAGTGGCCAAGACCAGTTCTAATGTGACCCTGGTCAGAACCCCTCATGATTATTATCAAAATACAAACAATAATATGTTCCATTTTCTTCTAAAAAGTTGTCAACTAATATGACCGTCCTGTATTTTGAAAGACATCTTCAGTTGCTTTGGTTTAACAACATAGATAGGATGACCACTATAAGATGGCAGCCATATTTTATTTGGTGCAGCAACCAATGCATGGTCTACTCTTCTTTATGGGTGCTGCCTCATCTTTGCAGGATCTGGGAGTCTTTTGAAATCACTTTAATTTGGACGGATTTAGATTCTTTTAGATAATAGAACCTAAATTTGTCTGGCTAATGAAACTCTCTATCCTAGATTAATGCTTTACTGAAATCGGAAAATAATTGGCCATAACTTACTGTTCACTAAATGCTAAAAAATGCATCAGACTTCTCACATGGTGATAGTACTTGCATCTGAAAAATTCACACAGAGAAGAAAGACAATTAGAAGAATTTTATTGATACAAATACTTTAGTTTTTGGTGGTCAGACCTCGGCAGGAAACATAGCGCTGAATTTGTTTGATATGCAAACAGGATTAAAGAACAGAGATGTTTCCCTCCAGGCCTGAAACTGGTGGTGGATTGGAGATGGATGAAGTTGGTCAGTCTGTAGACTGCTGGTTAGGGAGACAGTGTGCTTGAGCTGTATGGACAGATCCAGTGGACTGCCTGAGCTGATACTAATGCTTCACTAAGGGACCTGGAAGATGGAAGTCCAGCTTGGATTACATAGGTTGCTAGAACCTGTCTACAATGAGCAAGCATGAAGCGACAGTAGAGAAGAAAAACTCCCCACTGGGAGGGAACCTCTGGCAGAACCAGACTCAGCTTGATGGTCTTCTGCTGGACCGGTTGAAATGAGACAGGGAACGCCGTAAAAGTCCGGGAAGAATGAAATTCTAATGAAGCTGTGGCTACAATGGTGGAGAAGGGGATGGAGGTGGGTTGAAACTGGGTCATCTGAATCGAAGTCCAACATAGCGTAAACACTGCCAGCGCTTTATGTAGCAGACGGAGTTGTGGATGTGAGACCTTTTAAGACAAACTCTGGATGCTGATTGGGCTTTCATTGAGATGTGGTTCAAAGCTGATTAGCTGGTGTTGGAGACGGATGAAGGCGAGTAATCAGTTTATTCCGTTGAACTTCCACCTAGGCTCCATATTACAGGTTTTGAGCTTGCCTAAAAAATAAATAGTTTCAGGTAGGAGGTAGTGTATTAACTGGTACTAACCTATGATATTCCTGCATAAGGCAGCATATGATGTAAGAACTGTGGGCACTGAAGCGACTTTGTTATCCTGTGGTGAATTGATTGGCCAGTTATTTCTTGTAATGATGCAGGAAAGTCACATCAGCCCTGCAGTGTGGTGCGTTGGTGGGCGTACGTTGTTGGACTGCCAAAATAAAGATGTGCTGCAAAGAGTGCAGTCAGTGACACATGAGAGCATTTAAGGTGGAGGGAGAATATTAGGGTAAATCCTATATGCTGTGAACCAAGAGTAGCAGCATCATGATTGAGGTTTATTTCAGATATGGATTGCATAATGATGTCCTCCTCCAGTGTGTCACAGCGATCATTACTCAAGCTGCACAATGACATCATGCCACCATTTATTTCGGCAAGCAACATGCAACGAAAGCCAAAATTAAAAACCACTCCTGCAACACTTGAGGCAAAAACATCAAACGCCCCAGATATTCCGCTGAGCTTAAAATTGCATGGAGTTTACTAGTTATCATAATACACTTTTCATGCTTTTAATGCTCAGCTCTAGGCTTATTAACCCCAGTCTGCAATTAAATATTCATTAATGTTGGATCAATCTGTTACTGTGCCTGAAAAATGCCTTTGAAGAGGAAAAAGCTTTGGAAGTAAACATCAATACATGAGGGTTTTTTTCTTCCCTTTTTTGCAGTTCAACCCAGTGGATGTTGGCCCAGAAGCATGGCACACTCGGGAAAGGTCAAGGCTAACACATGTAGGCAGAAGGCCCTGACTGCCTGATGCAGAGGCATCATTTGACACAACAGGAATATTTGTAAACTGTAGAAAAAAACAAAAACATAAAAAACAGCCTTACTCAGAATGATGCTCATTCATTGTAAGAAAGACACAATGAATTTAGTGACACATGAGAATGACACATTTTCTTTGTCTATAATTGGTTGATGTGGCGGTCGAGCAGCAAAAGTTAAATTTTCCAACTCCAGAAGCTGCTGCTTTTGCAGCGCGTCGCACGCGTTAGATGCTCAGAAGCTCACGACGCGCTGCTCCTGCTGCTAAAAACGCGCTGCGGGACATTTTGCTGCACCTTGATGCAACACTAGCTGCTCCTACTGCTGCCTTTGCTGCTTGCGGTCTGAACGTAGCATTAGTCCTTGACGCGGCCGACCCATTTCGTTTATCCCTTTAAGCCGGGCGTACTCTGTATGATTTTTTGCCCTTTTCTGGCCGACCAGCGCCATCTCTTGGCGCTGAGTCCGACATATGATTTTTGGATGTGCAGTGTGAGCAGGTAGATAGCATCAGAGCATTGGCGTTGCACAGTGCGATAATATGAATGGTGAGCTGTGAACTTTTAAACCCTGCGGTTTCTTCGTACAGTTTGAGCTGTAGGTGCAAGCAACAATTGAAAATATCACACAGTGTTTGCCCGGTTTAAAGTTTCCAACTCTGTTCCCCACTCTGAGCTGCTCTCCTCTCTCTCATACTTGCCATACTTTTATGAGTTTTACTCTTTTTCTCTCTGTCCATAACGGCTCGACATACATCGAAAATTAAGTTTTGCCCCTGAGATGAAATGAACTGTAAAACAGATATGAGGTCATTTTAAAGCTCATATCGTGTCACAGAATGCAGAGTACAAGAAGTTGAGATGGCTGCTTAAATACTGGCTGCCTTATTTTTAAATATGAAGTCACACATTTCCCAACATGCATGAGTAATTCTTTTCCTGGCTTGTGTTCTCTGACAGCCTGCAGTGCCCAAAAGCCTTTGAAATATTAATCAGCCCAGGCTTCTTATGCAAAACCATTTTAAACACGGAGAGCCACTGCTTTGGAGTGAAGGAAAACAGAAGCCTGGAGCTCGGATGGTTAAGGTGTCATGGGACGTCTCAAGGTGCTCTCTTGTATGTAGCGTCTAACCTCAGGGCGAGTTAAAGTGTCTTTGGTGCAGGAGCCATGCTCTCACAGGGCCTTCCTCAGGTGCCATTGGAAACTTTAAGGTATCCTAATATGCAGTGAAGTGAGTCTGTATGTGTTTCCCAGAAGGTTCAACATGCCCTGAAAAAGGTTTAGGAGAAAGGGTGTTTTTTCATGGCCTAAATTTCAGAACAGAATACAGGAAAAAAGCAGAGCATGCTTTTTGTGGGCCGTTGCGTATTTCTACATATATTCATGAAGGTTCTGAGTAAAAAAAAAAAAAGCTAATGCAACAAGAGGCACACTTCAGGAAAAAAAAAGAGGGAAAGCCAAAGAAGAGAAGAAGCAAAAGGGCAACAAGAGGGAGTCCAAATCAGAAACAAAGTGAGAGAGTTGAAAGTGTGTGTGAGCCAGGCCTAGTTTTAGCGTGTGATCTAGGCCATTATCTGTGTTAGCACTGATGGGGCTCCTACAGGCTCTGTGGATCCTACATTACAATACCTTTTTACTAACTTGTTCTTTAAAATCAGTGTGTCTACGTGTGTTCGGTATACTTGGACACGATGCATTATTTGTGCAGTATTTACCGTATAGACCTTTTGTTTATTCCTAGATTTTGCTCTTTGTTTTTTTTTTTTGCTTGCACACAATCCGGTGTGTAATTAAGTGTAAGGGTGTTTACTGGAGTGTTTCTTCCTATGTGTGTGCCTTCTCACGTGCATCTGTGCACTCTTGCTGTATCACGCTCGTTGTGGGTCCAGCCCCCTTTCCAGCAGGCCCCTGGGGGCCTTCATTATGTAAGAAAGACGTTACTGCAGAACAGAGGCGGGCTGCGCTGATAGCTCTGGCAAGCCCCTGCTTAGTGCAATGAGTTTCACACTTACAACAGCACCCTTTAAAGACCAGGCTTAGGATTAGGGTTTTAAAGTCAGAGTTTGGGGGATTTTAACACAGAAAATTAATAAATCTAATTTTACATTGTTATATCTGTTCAATATTAGCCTTCCTTTCATGAGATGGCCCCATCATCCCAACAGTCCATCCAGTAGTCCATAATAACGCCCTTTTTTTGTCCTCCTCCTTCAGCGGTCCCCTTCCCCCTGGCCCACCGCCTCACCATGAAGGAGGTGTTTGACTCGGAGGGCCGGCCACGGGTGGACCTGCTCAAAGCTCATCTCACAAAGGAGGGCCGGCTGGAGGAAGCTGTGGCCCTGCGCATCATCGATGAGGGCGCCGCCATCCTGCGCCAGGAGCGCACCATGTTGGATATTGAGGCGCCAGTCACGGGTAAGGTGTTTCAGTGGAGACTGGGGAACAGTAAAGCATAACTTTGTATAATGTATTTAACAGTTTATGGACTTAATCTTATTTCAGATAAAATATATATATATATATATATATATATATATATTGTTGAAAATTTTGGTTTTAATATGTTTTAATTTCTCTGACTTAAAAATTGCTGTATGTGATGTGTAAAAACGTATAATTACTTCAAAAAATTATATATCTTTTGTTGTATTTCTCACCCATATAGGTTGTTGTTTTTTAACCTGTGCAATGCATGCTGGGTAATGACATATTTAGCTCTACCTACCTATTACCTCATGAGCCGTTATGCATGAGATATCTGTTGAAGCAATCAAATCGGATTTTTTGTGTATTCCACAAAAAAAAAAAATGTAAAAAAAATCCATTGGACTTGGTTTCCAAGTTTGAAGATGTTTCGCTTCCCATCCAGGAAGCTTTTTCAATTCAAAATGTCAGGAATAGTGTTGAGTTTGAGGTTTTATACAGTAGCCCAACAAGGCCCTGTTTTATTTGGAGAACATGCAAAGTGGAATGGACGAAGGGGTCCACTACTTGAATGGGGTCTGTTTGGCTTCTTTTCTTAGATAATACCCCAAAAAAGCTTCCTGGATGGGAAGTGAAACATCCTCAAACTTGGAAACCAAGTCCAGTGGATTGTTTTTCATTTTTTTTGGAATGACTATGACCTGGATGACTGAGAACTTTCACCAGCGATCTGCTGTTTATTACATTAGCTAGAGCTAACACTGTTAGCAGAAGCTAATGAGAAAATCTAATGGGAAGATCATGAACAAATAGAGCTAACACTATTAGCAGAAGCAAATGTGAAATCAAAATTAAATTAGATGATAATGAATGACTGTCTAAAATGACAGTGAAGCATCGTTCAGTCTTTCTGATGTATCTGTAGAAAATGTTTTGATCCTGATACTAACCATAAAAAGCCTAAATGGAGCTCTTTGTAGCATAGCTCTCCATCAAAGTTAGCATTGTCACTATCCAATCGGTCCCAAAAGCACGATCGGCTCATTTGCGCATCCAGATAAACTCCCGGGTCGTCCTCGATTTTATTTTGTTAAAAAGACCTGAATGACATTTTACCCTCCCCCAAAAATAGTAAAAATACTAAAATATAATGTGTTAAAGGTTAATAATGTATTTCCTGAGAAAATAAATACCTTAAAATCCTTTTTATTTTATCACTCGTCTGTTCCTAATGTGCACCGGAAATGGGATCCTACGCTAATTCGGGTGGCTAACTTTTTCGGCTTTGGATTTAAACATAAATCTAGTCTTTTTGAGTTTTATTTTCACGTTTTGTTTTAACCTTATGGTATGTAGTGTGTAATCTAAAGAAAGAAACAACTAAAAGGCAGATAAACATGGTTTAATCATATTTTGCGGGACTGCTCTGAGCATGTCTGATGATGATGTCAGAGCAGGAGTTTAACGAAAAAAATGTAAAAAGCATCAAAATTGTCTCACAAAAGTCATAGAACATTTTTTAAAGATGTGAATTGGCATTATTTAGTGAGTTAAGGATATAGAAATAAGTAGTTTTAGTACCATAATTACATTATTTATGGACACCTGGATGTATTTCTGTTCGCGCTTCCAGGACGGATCGGATAGGGAAAAGCATCTCCTAAAATTAGCTGCTCAAACACCAGCTTTGGCCAACCCTCCCCTATTTCTTCATTTAGTCCTCCTTATCCTTATTATCACCTAATTTTTACATTCTCGTCCATTTCATGGTCAAACATGTTTGATTTTCTCCTGACTTTACGATTCCTGATTGGCAGGTGGTTGTGAGAGGCTAATCGGCCCTTGTTACCCCGCGTACGCTACACGACGCACAATCAGGCTGAAAGTCGGGCCGATTGAAAAATTCTCGCACGACTGGAAAGTCGCCCCGAAAAGGGCAAAAAAATCGCACAGTGTACACGCAGCTTAAGTGAAAAGCTTGTTGTGTAATATAGGCTTTATCAAACCTCCATTTTAAATATTCCTTCCTTTCCATCAGCAGGTTATACTGAATAATCAACCTTTTCCTTTTAAACCGTAAAAACGGGTCCACCCTGGACAGCTCAATAGTGTTTCCCAGGGCAACACAGACATACGACCAGACCCTGACACTTAAGCCAGTGGTTGGTCCCTTTTAAGCTGGCATTGTTCTCACAAACCCTCTCCCCTTAAATACACCCTTTGTCCAAACAGGAAGATGTGAGCTCCCCAAGGCAGATAACTCAAAGAAAGGGAAACATAGTTAACACCGCATTTGAAAACCAGATAATACTATTATGCATGGACAGCATGGTATTACTGTTACGTAAAATGTATTATCCCTACATATATCCATGCAAATAATCTATATGGATGGTTCAAATGCAAGTACTATGTGTACGGATACTAATTACTTGTGGATGTTGAGAGGTTTTGTTATTATATTGTCAAAAGACAGGTTATTACTGACTGTTTAGCACCAAAATATTCACAATCCCTTCACTGTCTGGTTCATGGGTTAATGGCTTCAGTCCTTCTTCACTGAGTGATGCAGCAATTTCAGTGGTTTCTTTATGTATTTTACTCTTTCTACAATATTTTGATTGGAGGATATTGTTGTGGGAAGAAGGACAGACTGAACAAAAATGTGTTTCAGAAACAGAGAAGCCAGCAGGCAGGAAGCTAGACTAAGACACCAACAACCTATTGACTCTGTTTGGTAAATGCACCTTTGCGCCCGCTCGCATTTGTGTGATTGTGTGAGTGCGTTTATGCAAATGTGAGCAGTGAGATAATTCCGTGTGGGCTGTAGTTGCCCACGCATTGTGGGAACATCGCTCAGCTTTCACAGGTACAGATCCCCGGGGACGACGACAGACAGACGGGCAGATGGAGAGACATCCAATCATAAGCAGCTTAGTGCAGAGGTCCTCCAACCTTTTCGCTCCCAACAAGCTCCGTATTGATCGTTACTGTCAGGTTCCTCCACTTCTATAGGTTCTGATCCAGAGGGAAACATACTTTCAGCAGACTATGGCTGGAAAACACAGATAAACTTTAGAAATAACCTGTAGAGAGATACAGAGAGTGAGGCTGATTACATATTCGAAAGAGTTAGCCCTCGAAGGGGTTTTGCATGTAGGCTGAGAGTTGAACAGACAGCCTTTAAGGATGTGACATGAAAGCCTCTAGGACACAAAGCATAGGCATGGTACACACCACATTGCCTGTTACCAGATCAAATTAAACAGATACTTTTGGGTATGAGAAAAACTGACGTTAGAGCAGCAGTAAGACAGTAATACAGACAGAGGGCACCAGCCAGACAGACGCAAATGGCTATCGTAAAATACAGAAGAGGGGAACTATGACATCAACTGAAAGGGAAAGGAGAGACCAGACAGATGGTGAGGGAGGTGGATAGAGAGATGTGTGCTGACAGATACTGCATAGATCTTAAAAATGTTCTGCATGAGAACCTCTTTGTCCTTTATTTACAGATTGGATGTTTTTATCTAAATTAAACATTCGGAAACAGCAATTTATGATGTTTTACTAGTTTTATGGGGTTAAATTTGTTTTTCATCCTCCAACCGGAAATGTTTCGGCTGCTGGTGGGAATTTATGGATCAAAAGTAGAAAACGCTTTGTTTATATTTGGACCCCTTTATTTGATGTGAATATAAAATAAAAACATATAAAAGCTGTACTTTTTACCAAACTGCCGAAAGGGATGAATCAGACTTTAGACTCTAGCCGTCTTGCTAGAGTGTTGCTAATCTTTGGCAAACCTCTGTGGGTTTTATTAGGATTTTATACGATAGAGAAAAACAAAGTGGAGCATATTTGCAAAGTGTGGAGAAAATGATGCATTGTTTGAACAGATTTCTGATGAAGATAAGAACATCATGGTGTGGATTTGTATTCCTGCTTACTCAGAGGGTTAGATGATTTCTGTTTAAGAAAAAAAACTGCTAATCATATTACTTTAAGTGGAGAAATACTGATTCAATTAGAGAATTATTTGATTTAGCTGCTCAAATTAAAGGCAAATACACCTATTTTTAAGTAATTACTTATTTTTAGATCATTTTATGCAGTACTAGGGTTTTCTTCAATCCATAAATAACAAAGCTCCATAATAATGTTGGTTCTTTTATCAGTTTTAGGCTTTTGTAGTGGTTCTGCAACAAACAAAGAACACGCTTGTGTTCAACTTTCTTTTCTGTTTGCCAGGCCGATGAGTGATGTTTTTAGATCAGCAGTCAGGAAAGATACAGTGTAGCACTGCAGATGCAAACCAGGCCATATGGAGCCAGTGAGGCAAAAGCACTCCCGCTTTTTGTTAGCTGAATTGTTCACGCGTGTCCACTGCTGTTTCCACAGTGTGTGGAGACATCCACGGCCAGTTCTTCGACCTGATGAAGTTGTTCGAAGTGGGAGGCTCTCCTGCCAACACACGCTACCTCTTCCTTGGGGACTATGTGGATAGGGGCTACTTCAGTATCGAGGTGAGGAATACACTGTGGACAGCTGTGCAGCTTTCTGCAGGCTGCAAAGCAAATACCGGGTTAAATCTCATCTTTATGGGTGTGCATTCAGTCAGAAAAGCTGTTTGCTCTGCTGTACTGCATATGCAGTGACCGTGCAGGGGAAACCGTGTCAGTGGTGTCCAGTCCCAGAGGTCTAATATGTAGTATCCTGGGAGAATGCTAACCCTACCCCTTTGGGATAGAAAGCCGCAACACTGTGCTCTTTGTTGTGTAACATAACCGCACAAATATACCTGCTATAAATCCTGACAGCTACACACACAGGATTAATGTAAACAAAGCAGAAATGCAATCTTTGGCAGAGATGAGCTCCGGATCTCCAATGCGACTCACATCTGCAAGCCTGTTGAGTAACAGAGGAGTATATGGAGAGTATTTGGAGCAGAGGGAGCAATATTTAGGCCACCTTGTTACGACTTTCCAAGGGCACAGAGGCGAGGGACTTAATGTAGAGCAGGGACGACACTGTGTGAAGGTGAGAGAAGATCCTCTGAGTCATTTCTAGGGCTAGCTAAGAAAGAGGAGTAAAAAGAAAAGAAAAAAGTGCCGGGTGGTGAACATGTCATGTTTTCCTAATGAATTCTCTCCCCCAGTTAACCTAATGAGCACGGTCTGATTCAGGTCGATTCTTGTCAAACAAGGCTGTTTGTGTCTATCTTTGGACCCGGGCAGGATCATTTGGCCTCCAGCTCGGTTAATTACGGCAGTATGGCCTGCTCATTCAGTGGAGGAAATCCTTGCTAGAGCTCCACTGAGGTTCTGCGATGAGCTACGGATTTCCAGTTTGAGTTTATTAATGGGAACTGAAAGGCTCAGGCTCTGTCTCATGCAATTATCCTTCGTAGTGTAAGTTCCTTTTTACAGTACATCCCCTTAAAGCTACAGAACAGATATTCCTTAGCGTACATACAACTGTTAGTATGGTTCTGTTTAAAGAAAATACATTTGATTTAAACCGGTTTTGAACACAGCTGTAATCAGAGGCCTCAATAGAAACCGACGTAAATAACAGTAATTTTTTCTCAAAATAAGTGTATTTTTTCTTGGATAGAGGAGATAAAAAACACATTTTGCACAAATAAGAAAAAAACAATTGCATTTTTGTATTTTAAGTGCATGTTTTCTGATTATCTTATTTATATACTCATTTACCTACTCAAATTAAGGGTAAATACACTTAATTTAAGAAATGTTTTGCTTATTTGTAGATTGTTTTTCTAGTGTATACTTTAGAAATTCTTAAAATTTGTGTTTTTTTCCCCTTATTTTAGCATTTAAGAAAGAAAATTTGGAACGAAAAAATATGATTTATATTTAAAATAAGAAAAGACAACTAATTTTTCTTATTTCAAGTTCAAAAACACTCCTTCTATCTGCAGATTAACTTATTAACCTCCTTTAATACTGCCTACTGACACCTCACATGGGCACTGCTCCATAGGATAATATCCCCATTTTCTCTATAAAACTCACTTCATTGGCAGATCAGCCTACTTAACTGGTCAAATTAATGGGTAAATACATTTTTTAAGACATTTTCCCTCATCTTAAGATCAGTTTTTGCAGTGTATACAACAACTAAACAACTTCCATTAATTTAGGAGCAATAATTTGGTGGTCAAGTTTAAATCTTTGTTTATTTATATTAACATTTATTCCGACGCAATCACAACAAAATACTCTAGAAGTAATGCTTTTAGAAACATTTTCCAGCTAAATAAAATAGATAGGTATATATATTTTACAATGTTGTGTCACAATTCAAAGGAAGGCAGCCCAGATCCATGACTAGCAGTGTGTCTAATGACAGAAGCCCAGTAATCTGTTAATAGATCCAGTTTCCAATGTTTTGCAGTATTGTTTTCCATTTGTAGATTTTTAAACCATCTTGCCGTTGAAGGACTGTGGGAGGAAGTGCCTTCAGCCAAGAAAATGTAATCAAAGCCACCATAAACAGATCTTGAGTATCTTAACTGTCTTTTTTCACAATCATGGCATCAGACAGAAGATGTGATATTTTACATTAAATGGCAGATCCAATTGCAACATCGTCTCATTTTCTCCTTGATGTTTTTTCTTGTTGTTTTTACTTAAATCCACAATGTTTTTGTAGCCACCCTTAAAGGGGAACACAATACACACTCTACTTTGTTTAAAAAAAATATACCGGTATAAATATAAAAAATATAACCGCGTATGTCTGGGGGACAGTGATTCGCCTACATGTTATGAATGCTGGCGTACCATAAATAATAAATTATGAACAGTTTAGTTTGTGCCTTCAAGTCGTTGCCCATAGGAAGACGTTACTTGGATATAATCTAAAGGAATATCTTCAGAACAAAACTCATATGGGTGAGTAGAACATGATGTAACAATGTAAAATCAAAGGCCCAATGTAAAAAAAAAAAAAAAAAACGGTGTTCCCCTTTAAGTTTGTGGCCCATTTCTTCATGGATGTTTGTAAACTTGAATGTTTCAAGTAATTATTTAAACCAAGTAATTGAAACATCATTTGTGAAAAAAACAAACAACAAAACCCCTCAAATGTGTTGAGGTAGTGTGACATGTACTTGTTTTTGAACTACATTTATCCCAATTATTTGTTTATTAATTAACCGTGACCGAAAAAACTTAAACAAATTAACTTTAATGGAGAAGTACTTCTGCAGATGTTTAAAAGTTGACAGTGGCTGCAGCTAGCACACCATGAGGCTGCTCTTTGATTTGTTGAGGACTGTTCAATGTCACGGTACAATAGACTGAGGCCTTAGCAATGAAAATATTATAGATTGAATTCCAAACTGAGCAGAAAACAGAAAATATAAAAAAATGTTCCTATCTTAAATCAAAGAGGTGCAATACTGAAATACAGAACTGATACATAGATAATGATCATATGTTTAAATGCAGTTAGGTTACTGGTTAATATATTAAAATGTTAATACACCCACTCTGTAACCAAAATATTAAATTAATTGTACTCAAATTGTTTGATTTATTTTTTTATCTGACCTAATAGTATGAATTGATGAACTTTTTTTGTATGTCATGTTTTGCCAATATATTCCAAAAAAAGAAAATAAAAAACAATCCACTGGACTTTGTTTTCAATTTTGAAGACACTTCCCATCCAGGAAGCTTTTAAAAAAATTTTTTTGGAATGACTATGACCCAAATGACTTTGCTTTCACAAGCAGACCACCATTACTGTTGCCATAAGGTTCTGATATTTGTAGAGGAAATTTTGTTTAATATTATTTATGGAGTAAAATCGGAAAAGGCAGTAAAAAGGCAGGTTAGAAAAAAAAGAGGATAAGAATTAAGGGGTGAGAGAAATAGATAAACTTAAATAATTTAAGGTAATTGGTTTCCTCAAATCAATTGCATACTTATCAACTTTTACAGATGTAGAAAATGCCTAAATGAGTTGGTGTGGTTGCAGAAGCGCTGATAGGAGCTAAGCTGAGGGCTGTTCCTAAAATATTCAGAGATGGCAAAAGTACTCACTTTCCGTACTTGAGTAAAAGTACAGATACTTGTGTTAAAAAATACTCTGGTAAAAGTGGAAGT